CACAATATTTGTCCTTTTGTGACTGGATTATTTCACTGAACTTCATGTTTTCAAGATTGATCCATGTTGTAGCAGGTGTCCGAATTTCTTTTTTTTTTTTTCTATCCCCCACCCGCCGAGACGGAGTCTTGCTCAGTCTCCCAGGCTGGAATGCAGTGGCGCAATCTCAGCTCACTGCAACCTGCAAAGGCTCTATTTCAAATAAGTTCACAGTCACAAACACCAGGGGTTAGGACAACATATCTTTTAGGGGACTCAATTCAGCCCACAACAGCAAGGTAAAGAAGCGGAGATTCAAGGAAGGTCAATGCCAACATGGCTGTTCTTAATTGAATCCAGCTGACCCTGGGGAGACAGAGGGAGGAAACAGATGAATGGGTAAACAAAATGTGGTGTACACACAAAAAGAAATATTATTGAGCCTTAGAGGAAGGAAATTCGTCCAGGCACGGTGGCTCATGCCTATAATCCTAGCACTTCGGGAGGCCTGAGGTGGGTGGGTCACAAGGTCAGAAGTTCAAGGCCAGCCTGGCTCACATGATGAAATACGGTCTCTACTAAAAATACAAAAATTAGCAGGGGATGGTGGCACATGCCTATAATCCCAGCTATTCGGGAGGCTGAGGCAGGAGAATCACCTGAACCCAGGAGGCAGAGGCTGAGTTGTTTCTACCTTTTGGCTATTATGAATAATGTTGCTATGAAAATTGACATACAGGCCAGGCGTGGTGGCTCACGCCTGTAATCCCAGCACTTTGGGAGGTGGAGGCGGGAAGATCTTGAGGCTGGGAGTTAGAAACTAGCCTGACCAACATGGAGAAACCTCATTTCTACTAAAAATACAAAAAATTAGCCAGGTGTGGTGGCGCATGCCTGTAATCCCAGCTACTTGGGAGGCTGAGGCAGGAGAATTGCTTGAACCCAGGAGGCAGAGGTTGCTGTGAGCCAGGATAGCGCCACTGCACTCCAGCCTGGGCATCAGGAGTGAAACTCTATCTCAAAAAAAAGAACGAAAGAAAACCGACATACAAATATCTGTTCCAGTCCCTGTTTTCCATTCTCTTCGATACGTATGTAGGAGTAGAATTGCTGGGTCTGAAGGTAACTCAATATTCAAACTTTTCAGGAACTGTTTTGTAGAAACTATTTTCCACGTGGGTTTCCACAGTGACTGCACCATTTTACATTCTCAGCAGCAAAACACCTAGGGTTCCAATTTCTCCACATCCTCTCAACACCTATTATTATCTGTTTTTTTCATAATAGCTGTCCCAGGCAGTGTGAGTTATGGTTTTTATTTGCTCCAGGCTATTTTGCATTAAGTGGTCAAGGACCCTCTTGGTAATGCACCATTAACTTGACTTTGACTCCTCACCCCACAACCAGCTGACTTGGCTCTCATCTCCCGATTTGAAAATCCAGTTGGCTTAGCCAAGCATGCAGATGAACTCTTTTGGGGTCTGGTGTCTACCTCTGGTCCAGTTGGCTCTGGCCAGTGGGATGAGGGGAGGTAGTCCATGAAGCTTCCCTTTCCAGGGATGTGGTGAGTGGCTTTCTAGACAAGATTACTGGGGCAGGCAAGGGCAGACTTGTGTAGTGTAGACCCATGGACACAATGCTGGGCGGGACACGTGTTTTCTGTAGTTTGATGACAAGGAACTGGCCATCAAAAACGAGTTTGTCCACACACCAAGAGGGAAGGCATCTCCTATAAACTTGAGTTAATGAAGTTCTCCATCCCCAGAATAGCTATCAGAATGTTTCTTTCTTTCTTTCTCTCTTTCTTTCTTTTTCAGATGGAATTTTGCTCTTATTGCCCAGGCTGGAGTGCAACGGCACCATCTTAGCTCACTGCAACCTCCGCCTCCCAGGTTCAAGCAATTCTCCTGCCTCAGCCTCCTGAGTAGCTGAGATTACGGGCGTGTGCCACCATATCTGGCTAATTTTTTTTTTTTTTTTTTTTTTTTTTTCAGTACAGACAGGGTTTCTCCATGTTGATCAGGGCTGGTCTTGAGCTCCTGACCTCAGGTGATCCACCCAACTTGATCTCCCAAAGTGCTGGGATTACAGACCTGAGCCACCGCAGCCTGCCCAGAATGTTTATTCATTTCCAGTAAGAAGCAGGTGGGCCAGGAGGAGGGCCGTCAGTAGAGGCAGATCTGTGCAGGTTCCCCCACAGTGCTGCCTCACAGGAAGCTCAATTTTAATCAGAGACTGTGGTGAGGGTGGCATCAGAGCAAAGAGTGCCAGGGGACTGCCCATCCCAGGGACCAGGAGCCAGGACACCCTCAGCTCAGTCAACAGCTGGCTTTTTGTGTCTCCTTTATTGGTGCTCTTGGATGGCAGCTCTCTTTGAGATTCTGATAAAAGCCACGAATTCACTAAAACCCCACATAAGCACCTGGTTTTGCATTCAGTGTTATGGCTTTTAGACAATGCTATGTGTCCACCAACTATTTCCCTTTCCTCCTGGGCATGCAGGCACATCGCATTTCCCAACCTTCCCTTGGGTTAGTGAGGGAACGAGACTGAACTGAGAGGGGAGAAATGATGGACACCACTCCCAGACCTAGTCCCTAAAACCTTCCCCACCGTCTTCCACTCTTTCTCTCTTCTCCCTGTCAGCCAGATGAAGAGGACCCAGGGGAAGACTCTAAGCCCTCCCAGCAAGCAGAGGGGTGAGTCCAAGCACCGAAATGATGGTATGGACCCTAGGCTCCCACCCAGAGTCAACCTGTGCTGCACTGTGACCGAGTAAGAAGGAAAGATGTGGGCCAGGCACGGTGGCTCACATCCATTATTCCAGCACTTTGGGAGGCTGAGGCACTCAGATCACCTGAGGTCAGGAGTTCAAGACCAGCCTGGCCAATATGGTGAAACCCTGTCTCTACTAAAAAAAAAAAATACAAAAATTAGCCAGGCAGGATAGTGGTGCTTGTAATCCTAGCTACTCAAGAGACTGAGGCAGGAGAATCGCTTGAACCCGGGAGGCAGAAGTTGTAGTGAGCCAAGATCGCACCACTGCACTCCAGCCTGGGTGACAGAGTGAGACTCCAACTCAAAAAAAAAAAAAAAAGAAGGAAACATGTGGCCAGGCACAGTGGCTTATATTTGTAATCCCAGCACATTGGGAAGCTGAGGCAGGTGTATCGTCTTAGCTCAGAAGTTGAAGACCAGCCTGGACAATATGTCTCTACCAAAAATATCATAGAAAAAAAAATTAGCTAGGTGAGGTAGCATGCACCTGTGAGCTCAGCTACTCTGGAGATAGGTGGGAGGATCACTTGAACCTGGGAGGTGGAGGTTGCAGTGAGCCAAAATAATGCCACTGTACTCCGCCTGGGTGCCAGAGTGAGACCTCATGTCAAAAAAAAAAAAAAAAAAAGAGAAACATGCATGAAGCCCATAGACTGGAGGGCTCTTCGTTATGGTAGCGAGACCACCCTAACCAATATGTCCCTGAAGGCAGCCAGCCACATACACCTACTCTCTTGGCAGCCTGTCCTGATTGTCAAACCAGATCCCACTCGCTCATTTGTTTAACACATACTAAATAACAAACATGTTCCAGTTTCACCTTCCTGAGGTTCTGCGGAGGTCACTGGGTTCCTACTCTTTGGTTACACATTTTCACACAGTCTTGGTGGACTCCCATGATGGCAGCTGTGTTTGCTGTACTGACAAGGGCTTGAGACCAACAGAAACTACATAAATCCTTGGGTCACCTTGAGTGTGTCATTAGCCATCTTGTGTCCAATTCTTTTTTTCCTTTTTTAAAACATTTTTTAAAAATTTTGATACAGGATCTCTGTTACCCAGACCAGAGTGCAGTGGCACAATCACAGCTCACTGCAGCTGCGACTGCTGGGTTCCAGCAATCCTCCTGCCTCAGCCTCCTGAGTAGCTGGAACCAGAGGCATGCACCACCACACCTGGGTAATTTTTAAATTTTGTTGTAATGATGGAGTCTCACTATATTGGCCAGGATGGTCTCGAATTTCTGGGCTCAAAGAGTCCTCCTTCCTCAGTCTCCCAAAGCGCTAGGATTACAGGAGTGAGCCACCACGCTCAGCCCCAACTCTTTTGTTCGTGGCACTAATTCCTGCCCTGTCCACCCCAAGAGCACTGCCGTGCTTCCTGAGTTTAGAGGCCCGTGAGTTTCCACTAGGGAGAGGGCTCCCGCAGAGATAGATAAATTGATCCCAATGGCCGGGGTGGAGACAATGAGCTGATGCTCTCCTTCTTCCACTCGAGATATCCTCTGCCCCCTCAGCCTGTGAGCTTTTTCTCCAGTGTGCTCTGCAGTGGGGGCCCTCCCTGAGAGCCCCTGCAGCTGCATACGACAGTTTCTTTCTGCTGAACCATCGCAGCTATGCCCCAGTCCCTACCCTGAAGGGGCTCCCCAGAGGCCATGGGCAGCAGCTACCCAATAGGGCTGTCTGGGAGCTGCTCCAGGGCCACAGAAATCTGGTCTCAGACTCTCAGGGTATTTTGTTTTCTGTTCCATGTAAATACTCTCCTGACTAATGCCAACCATGTGTCCATAGAATCAGAAGTTTTTTTCAGGGGAAAAGGTAAGGAGGAGGTGGGAGTGTCCTGGGTCTGCCTTTCCAGGGCTTGCCCTGGGTTAAGAGCCAGGCAGGAAGCTCTCGAGAACATTGCTCAAGAGTGGAGGGGGCCTGGGAGGCCCAGGGAGGGGTGGGAGGGGATCACCCTGTCTGCCCCCCAGCCAGATGCCCCCCATCCTCCTCAGCTTCCCTCCCTCGGCCTGGAGAGGTGGGACCAGGTGTGGATGCTTGAGAGACCCCTGGTTGGAGGAAGCCACAAGTCCAGGCACATGGGAATCTGGGCAGGGGGCAAAGAGCAGGAAGGGGCCATCAGCCAGGACAGGTGGTAAGGCAGTCAGGAGTGTCCCTGCTGGGAAGAGGTGGGATCAAGCACCTGGAGGGCTCTCCAGGGCAAAGGCAAACACTGAGGTCCCTGCCATTCCCATAGCACCCCCATGCCCCACCCAGCTATAAGGGGCCATGCCCCAAGCAGAGTACCCAGGCTGCAGAGGTGCCATGGGCGAGTCACGCCTGCTGCAGTGGCTGCTGCTGCTGCTGCCTACACTCTGTGGCTCGGACACTGGTGAGTTTCCCCCAGCCTCCCTCTCCTAGGCAGCTCCACCACTCACTGAGCACTGCTCTGTGCCAGGCATCATCCCAAGTGTGCCTTCATTTTAAAGACAAAGCAGCTGGGGCTCGGAGAGAGTCCTGTGCTTACCCAAGGTCACACAGCTTGTGGGTCCTGGAGCAGGTGGAACCCAGAGCTGTCTGCCTCCCACATGTTTAATGGCCTCGCACTCCCAGCAAAACTGGGTTTAGAGGTTGGGTGAAATCAGGATGCCAGGTGTGTAACCTAGATCCTGACTAAGATTGCTCTGGCCCCGAACCACAGCTGCCGGGACCACCTCATCTGTGGCCTGTGCCCAGGGCCCTGAGTTCTGGTGCCAAAGCCTAGAGCAAGCATTGCAATGTAGAGCCCTGGGGCATTGCCTACAGAAAGTCTGGGGACATGTGGGAGCCGTGAGTACCACCAAGGATGCACAGCAACTGGGGGTCTGCGATGAAGGGTGCTGGGCGGGCTCTGGATGGACAGGAGGGGAGTGGAGCCCCCATAGGGGATGGAAGAGATGGAATGGGATGAGATGAAATGAGATAGGATGAAATGGAATGGGATGGATTCGATGGGCTAGGATGACAGAGTAGATGCAGTCAGATGAAGGGGATGGGATGGGTGGACAGAATGGAATGGATAAGGTGGGACAAGATGGGCTGGTGGCCAGCTGTTTATGCCTTGGAGTGCTCTGTTGGCCTCTGCCTGAGAGAACCTCCCAACTGGAGCTGGGAGCATGCCCTCCACTCATGTGTCCTCCACCGTGGGGCCCCCTCCCTCCCCAGGATGACCTATGCCAAGAGTGTGAGGACATCGTCCACATCCTTACCAAGATGGCCAAGGAGGCCATTTTCCAGGTAATGAGACCCAGATCCTGGATGAAGGCTGGGGCCCAAGAGATGAGGGACAGAGCAGGGAAGGGGCAAGCCCCCTAAAGGGGCCATTTCCAGGCTGAGTGGGAGGCCTGAGTGTACCTGGGAACTCCCAGCTCCTCCTAGCTGGGAGCGAGTCTTAGCCATGAGCTCAACAGCACAGCCAGAGATGGTCTTTCCTGAGGGGAAGGGGCCCTACCTATGCCCAGCTACTTACCTCCTTGACACTCTCGAACTTCAGTGCCCTGGAGGACTGGGGGTTGGTCTCCCCTGTTGGGGCCCTATGTCCAGGGACTTGGGTGGGGCAGACCTCAGAGATGCCCAGCTGACGGCCCCGCCAACCTTTCAGGACACGATGCGGAAGTTCCTGGAGCAGGAGTGCAGCACCTTCCCCTTGAAGCTGCTCGTGCCCCAGTGCAACCAAGCGCTTGACGACTACTTCCCCCTGGTCATCGACTACTTCCAGAAGCAGATTGTGAGGGCTGCAAGCTCGCCTCCCACCTGCCTTCCCACGCAGGCCCCTGTGCCCACCATGGGAGTTACACACACATCACCCCAGCCGTCCGGACACACACACACACACACAGACACACACACACACACACACAGCACACACACAGACAGCACACACACAGCACCCCAGCCAGATACACACACACACACACACACACACACAGAGAGCACCCCCCACTGGACAGACAGACACACACACACACACAGCACCCCCACCGGACACACACACACACACACAGACACACACACAGCACACACAAAGCACCCCAGCCAGCCAGCTAGACACACACACACACACACACACACAAACACACAGAGCACCCCCACCAGCCAGACACACACAGACACACACACACACACACAGAGCACCCCAGCTGGCCACACACACAGACACACACACCCCCCACCCACAAAGGGCCCAGGAAACTAAGTGCCCTTCAACCATGCACCCGACCATAGCCCCCAGGTCAAGGTGCATGTGGTGAGCCTGAATGCTCTTACACCCTCACACCCTCACTCACACGCATGCTTACACACTTATTCATTCTCACACATATGCTCATCCTCGTTCACACACAATCCCGGCCACCTGCCCTAAAGTCCCCACACAGCCCCGTCTCTGCCTTTTGTCCCCACATAAAGCTCTAAACCACAGCACCGCCACTAGGCCTGCTTCCTCCTGTTCCAGTGGCCCCGGTCCCTGAGCCCTTGGGCAGCCTGAACAGGGGAAGGCTTCCCTCCCAGACCCTAACACTCCCCCTCTGTGCTGTGCCCCAGAACTCAAAGGGCATCTGTATGCACCTGGGCCTGTGCAGATCCTGGCAGCCAGAGCCAGAGCGAGAGCCAGGGATGTCAGACCCTCTGCCCAACCCTCTACTGGACAAGCTGGTCCTCCCCGTGCTGCCTGGGGCCCTGCAGCCGAGGCCTGGGCCTCAAACACAGGTGAGGGAGGCCCCACAGCCAGTTGAGTGGGAATCCAGGGGCTAGGGCCACCTCTGAAGCCCATGGCGCTGGGCCCTGGGAGAGGCAGGGCTGGGAAGGGGACGGGAAACTCCGGGCAGAGTCTAAGGGAGGAGGGAGAGAAAGGGAGGAAAAGGGAGGGGAGGAGAGCCTGGAGGACTCTTCTCCCAGCGCCCAGCCTGGCCTCCACCAAATTCTCCCCCCAGGATCTCTCTGAGCAGCAATTCCCCATCCCTCTCCCCTACTGCTGGCTCTGCAGGATTCTGATCAAGCACGTCCAAGCCATGATTCCCAAGGTGAGGCATCCAGGGCAGCATGGAGCCCAGGAGGGTTTCCTGCAGCGCCCCCCTCCCAACTCACACCCCCTTCAGGGCCCAGCTAGCTGCCAGAAGTTAAGAGGGAGAGAGGCGCTTGTGCATTGCCCCCACCCAGGGGACCCTGGGGTTCAGACTCAGGCCTGGTAGGTGCCAGGCCTACAGTTCATGCAACAAACATTAAGCCCCCACTGCATGGAGGTGCCACGCCAGGTGCCAAAGTGCAAAAACAGACAAGACGCAGCCTTGACTTCCAGCAGCTCACCATCTGATGGAGAAGCATCCCCAGAGGTCTCTGTAGAAAAGTTGCATTGATTTTTCGAGAAGAATTTCCACAGATAGATTCCCATCCCTGCCTCAATCCAACTTGGAGTCTTCCAGACCCGCAGTGGCTGTTGCCCAGTGGCCCCACCAATCGGGCTACCTTGCCCCACAATGGGGCCCAAATGAGGAAAGGCCCTGCCCCCTCAGCCTTCCCCAGATAGGGTGCCATGAGCCCCGGGCGGCTCACAGCAGCAGGTGAGGTTCCTGATTTCCCAGAGCTTGTGCTGTGGTGGGGGAGTTTTCAGAACGTGGAGGATTCAAGCAGGATGAGGGATAGCCAGTGTGGGGATGATGCTGGCATGTCAGGAAGAGTCTCTGAGGGGTGACAATCAAGCTGAGACCTAGAGGACGACAAAGCCCTGATAGGCAAAGTGCTTCTCGAAGGAGCAAGCTGGGCAAGCCTGAGGAACAGAGACCGGTGCAGCGGCCCAGCAGGCAGGCACGGCCAGGCCAGGGAGACCTTTCCAAGCCAGGTTAAGAAACATCAAGGCCGGGCGCAGTGGCTCACATCTGTAATCCCAGCACTTTAGAAGGCTGAGGCAGGTGGATCACTGAGTCCAGGAGTTCGAGACCAGCCTGAGCAACATGGTGAAACCCTGTCTTTACTAAAAATACAAAAATTAGCCAGGCGAGGTGGCTCATGCCTGTAATCCCAACACTTTGGGAGGCGGAGGCGGGCGGATCACCTGTGGTCAAGAGATCAAGACCAGCCTGGCCAACATGGAGAAACCCCATCTCTACTAAAAATACAAAATTAGCTGGGCGTGATGACACATGCTTGTAATCCCAGCTACTCTGGAGGCTGAGGCAGGAGAATCACTTGAATCCGGGAGGTGGAGGTTTCAGTGAGCCGAGATCGCGCCATTGCACTCTAGCCTGGGCAACAAGAGCGAAATTCCGTCTCAAAAAAAAATTAATAAAAAACACAAAAATTAGCTGGATGTGGTAGCACATGCCTGTAGTCCCAGCTACTTGGGAGGCTGAGGCAGGAGAACCACTTGAACCTGGGAGGCGGAGGTTGCAGAGAGCCAAGATTGAGCCACTGCACTCCAGCCCGGGTGATGGAGCAAGACAAAGGAAGGAAAGAAGGAAAGAAGGGCGGGAGGAAGGAAAGGAAGGAAGATCACTGCAGAGATCACAGTAAGAGGCAATGTGACAGGAACAGGGCTGAAGGCTGGCCTGAGGACGAGTTTGGAAGGTGGGCTCACTACACTTGGACATAGATGGGCCCGGAGCACGAGGACCAGGAGGAACTCCACAGTGACTTTTCCAGACCGGCCAGAGCAATCAGCCTTCTGTAATGCCAGCAGCTGAGATGGAGTGACTCAAGAAGAAATGGGTTTGAGCAGAAAAACAGAGAGCTCCCTCCTGGCCATGCTGAGTTTGAGATGCCTGTGGGAAGCGCAGGAGAGGAGAGTCAGGCAGGCAGCTGAATCCCAAGTCTTGGGGGAAGGTCAGGTCCAGCGGATCACTTTTGAGAGTCCCTAGCTGTGGGCCAGAGCCTTTGGAGCCAGGCATAGGTCCGAAACTGGCTCCTACATTCAGTGACTCTGGGTGAGTCCCCTACATCCCCTGGACTCTTCAATCCCCAGTGTCATTTGTTTACAGCCTTGCCCTCTCTTCTAGAAGAGAATGAGGGAATGTGTAGGAAGCGCCTAGCTGAGCGCTGGGCAGAGAGTGGAGGCTGCCAAGTGAAGGCCCCATGCTGGCCTCTCTCCACCCCCGCCCCAGGGTGTGCTAGCTGTGGCAGTGGCCCAAGTGTGCCACGTGGTACCCCTGGTGGCGGGCGGCATCTGCCAGTGCCTGGCGGAGCGCTACACCGTCATCCTGCTTGACGCGCTGCTGGGCCGCATGCTGCCCCAGCTGGTGTGCGGCCTCGTTCTCCGGTGCTCCCTGAATGACAACGCTGCCCCAGGTGAGCCCACTGCCCACTCCTTAGCCCAATGCCCACTCTCCTCCTCCCCCTTCCCTACCCCTGCATGACCCTCTCCCTGTCTGGTCCCGCTGCAATGCACCAAGGAGGACAGAAACCGAACACTTCTGCAGGGTGGTCTTGCCTGCTTCCCCCTAACGCTTGCCTCTCTAGGATCAACAACAGGAGAATGGCTGCCGCAGGACTTTGAGTGCCAGCTCTGCATGGCCGTGACCACCCAGGCCAGGAACAGCAGCGAGCAGGCCATGCCACAGGCAATGCTCCAGACCTGCCTTGGCTCCTGGCTGGACAGGGAAAAGGTACGGGGCAGGCACATGGGGACTTGTGGTCACGGCCTGTTCAAGGTGGGAGGCTGAGCCCAAGAAGGACTTCGCAGCCAGAGACACATAGGATGGGCCGGACTGGAGCACAGACAGGCAGACAGGATGTGGGGCAGACAACGGTGGGACTGTAACTTAGGGCAGAGCCTGCTAAGGGTCAGGAGTCACCTCTGGACAAAGGGCTATGGGCTCCAGAGGACCAGCAGGCCCCCTTCACGGGCTGAGTAAGTGGCAGGCAAGCCTTCAGAGGCCCAGTTATCTACCAAGAGATGAGTAATGCCAGGGTCAGCTGGAGCCGGGAAAGGGACTGGTCTTTTCTCCAGAGTCCTGATCTCATTACTGCCCCTGCCCTCCTCAAGATGTGACTCACTCAGGACAAATCCATCTGCAAAAGGAGAGGGCTGGGCTTGAAGGTCCTAGGGCCCCTGCCAATACCCAATGACAGGAAATTCTCTCTTTCTTTTTTGAGAAGGTGTTTCACTCTTGTCCCCCAGGCTGGAGTGCAATAGGAGGATCTTGGTTCACTGCAGCCTCTGCCTCCTGGGTTCTCTTGCCTCAGCCTCTCAGTAATTCTCTTGCCTCAGCCTCTTGAGTAGCTGGGATTACAGGCGTGCGCCACCCTGCCTGGCTAATTTTTGTATTTTTAGTAGAGAGAAGGTTTCACCATGTTGGTCAGGCTGGTCTCGAACTCCTAACCTCAGGTGATCTGCCCGCCTCGGCTTCCAAAGTGCTGGAATTAGAGGTGTGAGCCACCACACCCAGCCAGGAAATTCCCTTCTTAAAGGGAGATGCTGTCCTGAGGCAAGCCAGCTGACGCTCTTCCCAAGGAGGTGGCTGTCTGCACAGTACTCCCTGCTCAGCAACTCCCAAGCCTCCCCATTGCCTATTACATCTGGTCTCAAAGACCAGATGAATATTAAGTTTTCTCCTAGAACTGAAATGGAGGTGGAAGAGGGGGTAGTGGCTGAGATTCCATCTCTCTGCCTGAGTTCTGTTTTTGTTTTTGTTTTTGAGGCAGAGTCTTGTTCTGTCACCCAGGCTTGAGTGCAGTGGCACAATCTCGGCTTACTGCAACCTCTGCCTCCCAGGTTCAAGTGATCCTCCTGCCTCAGCCTCCAGAGTAGCCGGGATTACAGGCATGCACCATCACACCCGGCTAATTTTTGTATTTTTAGTAGAGATGGGGTTTCACCATGTTGGTCAGGCTGGTCTCGAACTTTTGACCTCGTGACCCGCCCACCTCAGCCTCTCAGAGTGCTGGGATTATAGGCGTGGGCCCCCCGGCCCAGCCTCTGCCTGCGTTTGAAGATCCTCTGCCTCCAGTGTCGCTTGCTTTTCTGATGGAAGCCCTCTATTTTAGCTGGCTCTGGTTTGTTAAGGGTTTTAACTGCAGCCAGAGCTGTTCAGTGAGGGCTGATGGAAGAGTCAGGAGGGAGCCCTAGAGTGACTCAGAGACGTGGAGAGGCCAGGACCACACAACAGGGATGTCCTGCAAAGGGCCGGATCCCCTCCACTGCTGTGTCTCTCCTTCTTCAGTGTAACCGATTTGTGGAGCAGCACACACCCCAATTGCTGACCCTGGCGTCCAGAGGCTGGGATGCCCACACCACCTGCCAGGTACACCCACCCTCCCGGCTGGTCCTAGGACTTCCCTCAGCTCCCGGAGACCCCGACGGCTGGGTCCGTGATCCTCAGAGGCCCCACTCCCCTGGGTCCAAGGTGGCCCCACGTGCACGGGCCAGGGTATGGGAGGCACTCCTCACTGTTTCCATGTAGAAAAGTCACTACAGCATAGAAAGGGGGATGGAAAGGGAGGGATGGTCGGAAGAGTGTGGCTGGATGTCCATTATGGGATGGGCTGTGTTCCCCCGGCCAGTGTGTGCTGGTGGGGTGGGGTACAAAGTGGGTGTTCTGCAGTGAACATCTCACCTCCTCAGGCTCTAAGCCGTAATACCTGTGGCTCAGGGAGTGGCCTGAGGGGTCTGTGGAGTCACACAGGGAGCGCCCGCTAGGTGGCAGGTGGAGTGAGTGCTGTTCTTTCCCGGAGGAGCTGGGCGTGGGGAGCTGAGGGGGCCAAGGTCTCAGCCCTGACACTGTCCCTGCGACAGGTCCTCGGGGTGTGTGGGACCATGTCCAGTCCTCTCCAGTGTATCCACAGTCCCGACCTCTGATGAGAACTCAGCCACCCAGGTGAGTCCAGGCTCCCAGCTGCAGGGAGGGAAGGGGGCAGGTCCTGACCATCAGGGCATGGGGTGCCCATCTGCTTGCCAAGCAGGAAGAGGCGGCCACTCCTGCCGGCTGCTCCATCCTCCCTCTCACCACACAGCTGGAGGCTCCTGAGGGCTTCTGGCCCAACATCAGGAAAATGCCCCTTCCAGGACCCTGGGCACTCCCCTCTGCTAGAACCCCAGTCACCAAGTGCCCAGCCCCAGCTCCCCCGCCCCTGTCCCAGACCTCCCCCTCAGAGCTTGCCCCCAGGACTCACTGAACCCCATGGTTCAATATATTCTGGCCAAGGCCAAGCTTTCCTGGGGCTTACAGGAAATCATACTTTGCTACGCAGAGCTATCTCCCCTCAGATGCCAGGAAGGCCGACATCATCTAACTCCACCCTCCTGAGACACATTCTCTCCCTACTGCCGGGTTCTAAGTCAGAGGAGAATCTTAAGATGGAAGGATGGAGGGGGCCCAGATGCAGCCTCTGTGAGCAGGTGCCTGGGAGCTGGGAAATGACCCTGAGAGGGCAGGACACAGCAACCAGGGCTCAAGGTGACCTTGAGAGCAAGCTTGGTCCACTTTACAATTCTGCTTAAAGCCAGCTCCTAACATGGTGGTCATTTATTCATTTGTTCCCTCACTTTGAAAAACATAAGGCCAGGGCAGGGCGCAGTAGCTCACACCTATAATCCCAGCACTTTGGGAAGCCAAGACAGGCAGATCATCTAAGGTCGGGAGTTCGAGACCAGCCTGATCAACATGGAGAAACCCCATCTCTACTAAAAATGCAAAATTAGTGGGGCATGGTGGTGCATGCCTGTAATCTCAGCTGCTTGGGAGGCTGAGGCAGGAGAATTGCTTGAACCCAGGAGGTAGAGGTTGCAGTGAGCCAAGATCTCGCCACTGTACTCCAGCCTGGGCAACAAGAGCAAAACTCCATCTTTTTTTGAAGCCCAGGCCTCCCTAGTGGCTCACACCTGTAATCCTAGCACTTTGGAAGGCCAAGGTGGGTGAATCATGAGGTCAGAGTTTGAGACCAGCCTGACCAACATGGAAAAACACTGTCTCTATTAAAAATACAAAATTAGCAGGGCATGGTGGCACATGCCTATAATCCCAGCTACTCGGGAGGCTGAGGCAAAAAAAAAAAAAATTAGTGTCTGTGGCCAGGCTACGTCCTAGGGGCCAGGGCTATAGCTATGGATGAAAGGCTGGGAGCTCTGCCCTCCTGGAGCTCACAGCCAAGTCCGCTTCTTCTCTCTGAGGCTGGAGAGCCAGCCCTGCTCCTGAAACCCTGAATCACAAGCCCCTGTGGGAGGCAGTGGGGAGGGGAGGTCCTCTCCAACTCAGACCTGTCTGTCCCACAGGGACGTTTAATGTGTCCTTACCCCACTGATGACAGCTGGGGGCCTGGGAGTAGGGAATCATCCAGAACCAGGGCAGTCGCCTTTCCCTAGCTCCCAGGGGTTCCGGCCTTCCTTGCTGAAACAGCAAACCCAGTGGGTTGGCAAGGGAGGCCTGGGCTTCAAACCCGACTCTGCTATCTATCTGGCGGTGGGTCCCCAGGCAGGACACACACAGCCTCTCTCACGCCCTCATCCTCCTCAGCTGCAAAGGAGGAGCCTAGTGAGAGGGGCTCTGGGACCATGGTGACCAGGCTCTTCCCCCTGCTTCCTGGCCAGCTGCCACGCTGAAAAGAAGCCTCAGCTCCCACATCATCCTCCCCGTTGCTCTTCCTCCAGAGTCACTTCCACTGGTGGACCACGGGCCCCAGCCCTGTGTCGGCCTTGTCTGTTTCAGCTCAACCACAGCCAGATGCCAGAGCCACTTCTGTCTTCTCTGGTGTGAGGCGCAGTGAGGGCAGCATCTGCAGGAGCTCTGCAGCCTCCACTCATCCCACGGCCTCCCAGGGCTGGGCTCAGGAGAAACCAGCCACCGCTCCACAGGAAACACTGCCCCCACCACCCGCCTCACACCCAACCCCATGCACTCAAAGACTGGCTTTTACAGTTATTTGCAATTCTAAATTCAGAAGAATAAAAAATGGGAACATACAGAACTCTAAAAGATAGACATCAGAAATCCTTCAGTTAAGTTTTTCAAAAAATCAGGAACGGTGTGGTCCAGGGTGGACACGGCACGCTCTAGCATGATTTTGCCCTCGAGATGCTCTGCTGCTTGAGAGCTGTCCCTTTGTTAAGATATAAAAAGGGGGTTTCTTTTTGTCTTTCTGTAAGGTGGACTTCCAGCTTTTGATTGAAAGTCCAAGGGCAATTCTGTTTCTGCTATGATTCATCTGCTCGAAGCCCAGCTGGGCTTGTGCATGCTAAGAACCCATTCCTGTGAAATACAAACCTGCGCCAATGCTAATAAAGTCCTATTCTCTTGTATGAAAAAGAAAAAGACACCGTCCTTTAAAGTGCTGCATTATGGCCGGGCACCATGGCTCACGCCTGTAATCCCAGTACTTTGGGAGGCCAAGGCAAGAGGATCACTTGAGGTCAGGAATTTGAGACCAGCCTAAGCAACATGGTGAAACCCTGTCTCTACTAAAAACGCAAAAAATTAGCCAAGCATGGTTGTGCATGCCTATAATCCCAGCTACTCAAGGCTGAGGCAGGAGAATTGCTTGAGCCCAGGAGGGGACATTGCAGTGAGCCGAGATCACACCACTGCACTCCAGCCTGGGCAACAGAGCAAGACTTTATCTCAGTAACTAAATAAATAAAAAAGAAGTTCCGAAATCACACCACTGCACTCCAGCCTGGGCAACAGAGCAATACTCTATCTCAGTGAATGAATGAATGAATGAATGAATGAATGAATGAAGTGCCGGCCAGGCACAGTGGCTCATGCCTGTAATCCCAGCACTTTGGGAGCCCAAGGCAGGGGGATCACAAGGTCAGCAGTTCAAGACCAGCCTGGCCAACACAGTGAAACCCCGTCTCTACTGAAAATACAAAAATTAGCCAGGCATGGTGGTAGGTGACTGTAGTCCCAGCTACTTGGAAGGCTAAGGCAAGAGAATCACTTGAACCTGGGAGGGGCGGAGGTTGCAGTGAGCTAAGATCGTGCCACTGCACTGCACTCCAGCCGGGGTGACACAGCAAGACTCTTCCTTAAAAAATATAAATAAATAAGAAGTGCTGCAGTAGCTGGGGCCTCACCCTGAAGTCAGCGGGCCACAGCCTACCTCACTCTCTCCCTTGGCAGAGAAGTGGATGTCCACAGCTCCTCTCTCTCACAAGTGTTCCCCGCCTGCCCTCCAGCTACTGCTCTCCCCTCCCAGTCTCTATTCACTGGGATGAGGTGAGGTCTCAAGGACACCAAAAACCTAAAAATAAACAAAAGCCAAATAAGCCTTAGCCTTAAGGACTGCAATGCCTGCAAGCATCCCTTTATTTGTAAAAGAACTTTTGTCATATTTCTTATTATCAAAGAAATACATCAGGGCGCAGTGGCTCACGCTTGTAATCCCAGCACTTTGGGAGGCCAAGGTGGGTGAATCATCTGGGGTCAGGAGTTGGAGATCAGCCTGACCAACATGGAGCAACCCTGTCTCTATTAAAAATACAAAATTAGCAGGGTGTGGTGGTGCATGCCTGTAATCCCAGCTACTCGGGAGGCTGAGGCAAGAGGCTTGAACTGGAGAGGTAGGGGTGGCGTTGAGCTGAGCTTGCACCATTGCAGTTTAGCCTGGGCAACAAGAGTAAAACTGAATCCAAGGGAGAGGGGAGAGGAAGGGAGAAGAGGGGAGGGGAGCAGAGGGGAGGGGAAAAGAAAAGAAAGAAGAAAGAGAAAGAGAAAGAGAGACAGAAAGATTTCCACTCTTTTTTTGTCTGTAGTTTTTCTTTCTTTCCCTTCCTTCCTTCCTCATTCTTTTTCTCTTTCTTTTTCTCTTTTCCTTCCTTCCTTTCTTCTCTTTCTTTCTTTTCCTTCCTTCCTTCCCTTCTTCCATTCTTCCCTTCTCTCCTTCTCTCCTCCTCTCCTTCTCTTTCTTTCTCTTTCTCAATCCCACCAAGCCCGGGAGAGAGCTATTGCTGGATGTGTATTTTGACACTGAGATTGGGGCTTTTTCAGTCCTCTCCCCGCACTCTCTGGCTCCACACCTCCACCATTCAAGCGCCAGCAAGAGCTGTCTATGCATTCTGCTCTTGGGCTACAGATGAGATACACAAGTCATTGGCTCCTGGATTTTAACTTTTAAGTAGATGTTTGTAAACTATAGCTAACTACTGTATTTTTTTATTATTATAATTATTATTCCTAACATTTTGTTTCTTTGCTTTTGAGATGGAGTCTCGCTCTGTCTCCTAGGCTGGAGTGCGTGCAGTGCAGCGGCAAAATCTCAGCTCACTGCAACCTCCGCGTCCCTGGTTCAGACGATTCTCCTGCCTCAGCTTCCCAAGTAGCTGGGAATTCAGGGGTGTGCCACCACACCTGGCTAATTTTTGTATTTTTAGTAGAAATGGGGTTTCACTATGTTAGTCAGGCTGGTCTCGAACTCCTGGCCTCGTGATCCGCCCACCTCAGCCTCTCAAAGTGCTGGGATTACAGGCTTGAAACACCGCACCCAGGCTGCTAATTACTGTCTTTAAAGCCATTGTTTCAATTACAAAATGCAACTCTCTGAGGAAGAGGGTGTTTTAAATTTTAAAAAATAAAAATAAAAGGCCGGCGCAGTGGCTCAAGCCTGTAATCTCAGTACTTTGGGAAGCCGAGGCAGGCAAAACATGGCGAAATCCCATCTCTACTGAAAATACAAAAAATTAGCTGGGCATGGTGGCAGGTACCTGTAATCCCAGCTATTCAGGCGGCTGAGGCAGGATTCTCGCTTGAACCCAGGAGGTGGAGGTTGCAGTGAGCCGAGATCATACCACTGCACTGCAGCTGGGGAGAGAGTGAGAGACCCTGTCTAAAAAATAATAATAATAATTAATAAATAATAAATTAAAAGGCTTCAAATACGCCAGGCGCGGTGGTTCAAGCCTGTAATCCCAGCACTTTGGGAGGCCGAGGCGGGTGGATCACGAGGTCAAGAGATCGAGACCATCCTGGTCAACATGGTGAAACCCCGTCTCTACTAAAAATACAAAAAATTAGCTGGGCATGGTGGTGCACGCCTGTAGTCCCAGCTACTCGGGAGGCTGAGGCAGGAGAATTGCTTGAACCCAGGAGACGGAGGTTGCCGTGAGCCGAGATCGCGCCATTGCACTCCAGCCTGGGTAACAAGAGCGAAACTCCATCTCAAAAAAAAAAAAAAAAAAAAAGGCTTGATTGGGACAACGAAAAGCCAATATTTGAAGAAGAGGAGGCATTAATAATTTATCCCAAAAATAAGAGTAGTAATGAGTGCCTGAGAATGAAAAAGGAGGGTTTACTCAAAAGGAGGTCAAGAGTTGACAGACTTTGGGAGGCTGAGGTGGGTGATCACTTGAGCCCAGGAGTTCAAGACCAGCCTGGGCAACATGGCAAAACCCTATCTCTATAAAAAATAAAAAAAACTTGGCCGGGCATGGTGGCTCACACCTGTAATCCCAGCACTTTGGGAGGCCGAGGTGGGCGGATCACAAGGTCAGCAGATCCAGACCATCCTGGCTAACATGGTGACACCCCATCTCTACTAAAAATACAAAAATTAGCTGGGCACGGTGGTGGGCACCTGTAATCCCAGCTACTTGGGAGGCTGAGCCAGGAGAATTACTTGAACCCGGGAGGCAGAGGTTGCAGAGAGCTGATATCAGCCTGACCAACATGGTGAAACCCCATATCTACTAAAAAACATATATATACAACATTAGGGCCAGGCATGCTGGTTTATGCCTGTAATCCCAGCATTCTGGGAGGCCGAGGCAGGCAGATTGCAAAATCAAGAATTTGAGACCAGCCTAGCCAACATGATAAAACCCTGTCTCTACTAAAAATACAAGCATTAGCCAGGAGTGGTAGCAGGCGCCTGTAATCCCAGCTACTCAGGAGGCTGAGGCAGGAGAATCACTTGAACTCAGGAGGCGGAGGCTGCAGTAAGCCAAGACTGTGTGTGCCACAGCACTCCAGCCTGGGTGACAAGAGCAAGACTTCATCTAAAAAAAAAACAAAACAAAACAAAAAAAATACAAAATCAGCCACATGTGGTTGCAGACGCCTGTATTCCCAGCTACTCAGGCAGCTGAGGCAGGAGAATCACTTGAACACAGGAGATAGAGGTTGTAGGGAGCCAAAATCGCACCACTGCACTCCAGCCTGGGCAACAAGAGCAACACTCTATCTCAAAGAAAAAAAAAAGGATACAAAAATTAGCTGGGCATGGTGGCGTGTGTCTGTGGTCCTAGCTATTCAGGAGGCTGAGGTGGGAGGATCACTTGAATCGGGGAGGTCAAGTCTGCAGTGAGCCATGATGATGCCACTGTCCCTGGGTGACAGAGAGAGATCCTATCTCAAAATTAATTAATTAATTTTTAAAAAGAGTTGACTGGATGGTAGGGGGACAAAAATTGGCAGGAAGTGGCTACACTTGAGATTCCAAGGGTCCCTGAGAAGTGTCCAACATCCTGCACCCCTGCCCTTAGTAAGGTGGGGGAAGAGAAGTCCCAGGAGGGATTATAGCCCAAGAGGAGGGAGCTTATTCTTCACTTTCCAGGGTGTGGGCTTCTAAGAGAAGCCTGCCTCTCACAGGACATCAGAAAGGGTGAGGATGGAGCGAGGCAACTGCAGCCCATGGACTTAGAAGCAGGCAGAACTGGCTCTGAACAAGATGGTGTGCCTGTAAGAGCCCATGGCTGGGAATGAGTCTGTGGCAGATGTAGTGGATCTTGAGATGAGCAGAAATCAGACGTGTAGCAATGATGGCACAAGAAGATGACAATCAGGCAAGACGAAAGGCACGCAGGGGGACCGGGAGGGCCAGGGAACACTTGGTACCCCATGCTTTTGCTCACCACAGGGTAATTTGTAAACATTCCCAGGGAAAGGGGAAGTAGGAGTAAGTGGTTAGTCAGCCAAGAGAGGCTGCGTATTAAGAAGGGAATGAGTTACTCTGAAGTGGAAATAATATGTTTTGAGGGCTCATGAGCCAAAATGAGTTCGGTTATAGAGAAATAAAGACAGTTACATTATGTCCCCCAATAAATAACTGAAATTTTTAAATCTATGACATAATCATTAACATGTTATTATCTATAATTCCAAAGCTTTCTGTACACATATACAAAAACAGATATAGCATATCTCCAAAAACAGAAATATCCTATACATGCTACTTTGTAACCTGCAGTGTTCATTTAACAATAACCTTTTTGGGTCAACAAAGGTAAGTATCTACTAGCATTGCTGATCGTCACATGACAGCTCTGTCTCCCAGGCTAGAGTGCGGTAGTGCGATCACGGCTCACAGTAGCCTGGAA